GATGGATCCTCCCAGACTTCAAAATCTTCCTGCCCCGGGCCCTCGGGGAAACTTTAATCAGCCACCTCCATTCTTCCACCCACCTGGGAGGAGCAAAGTTGGCCCAGCTTTTAAGGAGCCATTTTAAAATTCCATACCTCCAGGACTTAACTGGCCAAGTGGCCTCCTAATGCACGGCTTGTGCCCAGGTGAACACCAAACAAGGTCCAAAGCCTGAACTGGGCCATTGTCTCCAAGGACGTAGCCCAGAAGAGAGGTGGGAAGTTAACTTTACCAAAGTAAAACCACACTGGGCAGGGTATAAGTACTTCCTGGTGCTGGTAAACACCTTTTCCGGACGGACTGAGGCATTTACCACCAAGAATGAAATTGCCACTATGGTAGTTAAGTTCTTACTCAATAAAATCATCCCTCAATATGAGCTGCCTGTCGCCATAGGGTCTGGTAATGAACCGGCCTTCACCTCGTCCATAGTGCAGTCAGTCAGCAAAACATAGAATATTCAGTAAAAACTCCACTGTGCCTGTCACCCCCAGAGCTCTGGACAGGTAAAACGTATGAATCGTACTTTAAAAGGTACTCTTACCAAATCAATCCTGGAAACCAGTGAAAATTGGATAAAGCTCCCTCCTTTAGCCCTTCTAAAAGTTAGATGCATCCCTTACAAGGTGGGATTCTCTCCTTTTAAAATCATTTATGGGAGGGCCCCACCTATCTTGCCTAAACTGAGGGAAACCCAGTTAGCAGAGATGTCCCAAGCTAACTTGTTACAGTAATTGCAGTCTCTTCAACAGGTTCAAAATATCATCCAGCCACTCATCTGGGGAGCACACCCTAATCTGGTTCCTGACCTGATGGGGCCCTGCTACCCCTTCCGTCCCGGTAATCTGGTGTATGTCAAAAAGTTCCAGAAGGAAGGACTTGTTCCTGCTTGGAAAGAACCTCACACTGTCATCCTCACCACACCCACGGCCCTTAAAAGTGGACGGCATTCCTGCTTGGATTCATCATTCCATATCAAAAAGGCCAACAAAATGCAGCAAGAAATATTGGTCCCCAAGCCCAGGTCAGGCCCCTGCAAGCTGTGCCTAAGTCAAGTGCAGCCATCAGGTTAATTCCTTTTATTCACTTTTCTTGTCTGCTTCCGGTCGTTAAGCCCTCTGTCCTCTCCTACTCCTTTCTCCTTACTTCCTTTGTAACAGGCCATGTGCTTGTGAACACCACCTGGAAGGAGAGTACCTCCAATAAAGTCTCTTTTACAATCAATTTCTGTGTTTTATTCTCAAAGCACAGCCGTACCCTCAAAGAGCAGCGAAGTTTGCCCCTCTGGGTAGGAGTGAGACTCATCAACCTTGCTGCTGGGTTTGGATACACCAGAAGTAAGAGTAAATGCAGCAACTCTGGGGGTGCAGAAAAGGGACTCCAACGTGTAAATTTCTACCTCTGTCCTGGAAATCATCCTGATGCTACCTGCCAGGATCCTTACAATTTTTTCTGCCTTTTCTGGTCATGTGTAACCTTGGCTACTTACCAGGGGGAACTGATTTGGTCCCTGACCTTTTCTATAGCTCATACCTCTCATCCTAAACCATGTACTATGGGAGCTTGTAATCCTATTACCATAACTGTCCATAACCCTGGCTCAGTTCAATGGTACTATGGTATAACATGGGGACTGCAACTCTATATCACAGGGTTTAATCTCGGAACTACATTTACCATTCAGAAGAAGGTCCTGATCCCCTGGAGCCCCCCTAAACCAACTGATCCCTTAACTAATTTAGGAAACCCTGTGTTCCGCCCACACCCAGATAGAGTCAGCCCCATCGGCCCAACTGTCCCATTGCCAGTCCAAGCTCCTCAACCTCGGCTGTAGCATCGACACCTCCAGCCCAGCTTAATGTCCATTCTAAATAGAGTACATTACCTTCGTAATGTTACTCAGCCTAAACTGGCCCAAGATTGTTGGTTATGCCTAAAGGCAAAACCCCCATATTATTTTGGATTGGGAGTTGAGGTTAAGCGTAATATTGGCCCTTTTTCTTGTCATGCTCGTCCCTGTTCCCTTACACTAGGAGACGTTTCAGGAAACGCCTCCTGCCTAGTCAGTAATGAGTATAACATATTTGCGTCCCCATTTCAGGCCACCTGTAACCAATCTCTCCTTACTTCTCTAAACCCTTCAGTCTCCTACCAGGCACTCAACAATACTTGGCTGGCTTGCACCTCAGGCCTGAACTGCTGCATCAATGGAACTGAACCTGGACCTCTCCTATGCATGTTAGTTCATGTACTTCCTCAGGTTTACATGTACAGCGGACCAGAGGACAACTTTTTATCACCCCACCTGAACTGCACCCCAGGATCTGCCAGGGTGCCCCATTCCTAGTGCCCCCTCCTGCCGGCCGTAATGTAGATGGGTTGGCAGTAATCAGCACTGCCACTCTAGTGCAAGAAAAAACTGAGCTAGTATCCCTAACTCAACAAGTAGATGCTGACTTAAAAAATCTCCAATCAGCTGTAAATATGCTACATACCCAGGTAAAATCCCTGGCTAAGGTGGTTCTCCAAAACCGCCGGGGCTTAAATTTGCTATTCCTCTCCCAAAAAGGTTTATGTGCCACTTTGGGGGAAAGTTGCTGTTTTTATGCTAACCAGTCTAAAGTCATAAAGAATACTCTTCAAAGAGTTTGAGAAAATCTAGATAAACGCCAACAGGAGCGGGAAAAGGTACACTTCATGGTACCAAAGCATGTTTAACTAAAACCCATGGCTAACTACTTTAATAACTGAATTTGCAGGACCTCTTCTCCACCTCTTGTTGGGTTTAATTTTCCAGCCCAGTATATTAAATTGGTTAATTAATTTTGTAAAACAGTGCATAGCTTCTGTTAAACTTATATATCTTTGAACCCACTATAACCCCCTCGCTATAACTGAGGAATCAATAATTTAAATCCCCAAAAACACAAGTGGGGAATGTGTTATCCTAACTTGTGTTGGCCTTACTAACTCATTCTTAATTGAAGAAGCCGGACAAACGCCATCTTAGCTTCTTCACTTCTAGTTATTTTCCCTCCATTAAGTATGTAGCTGTAGCGTGTGGTTGGGGCAGGATGACACCAGGCACATCCAGGAATGCATTTGCTGATAAGACACCGAGTCAAGCGGTACCAGCAGACCCTGGGAATGCAGATGTTGCCAAGTGCCCAGAGCCCCATATCTATAAGTTTTATGTCTTTTGTGACAGCTTAAGCCCCTGGTACTGTTTACTTCTTATGTACTCGTTTATCTTTTAACTTTTTGCTTGCTCTGCTTCTGTAAAAAAAATTGCTTCAGCTAGGTTCCCCCTCCCTTTTCAAACTAGGGTATAAGAAAACCACCTAACTCTTTGTTCGGGGCCGAGAGAATTTTGGGCGTTAGCCATCTCTTGGTCACCGGCAATAAAGGACTCGCAACTCAAATCTCAGAGTGTGGTGCATTCCTTTACTTGTGTGGATATAACAACTATCTCTTCCCTAGAAATTTCTGCATAAATTGCCCCTTAATCTACATGCAGTTAAAAGTGGATATAAATATGACTGCAAAACTACCCTGAGCTGTTACTCTCTGCCTAGAGGTAGCCCTGCTCTGCATGTAACACCACCTCTTCAGTAAAGCTGTTTTCTCCTAAAGTCCTGAAAAGAAAAGAAAAGAAAAGAAAAGAAAAGAGAAAAGAAAAGAAAAAAGCTCTTTTCTTTTACCTCTGGCTTGCCCTTGAATTCTTCCCTGGACAGTGCCAAGGACCCTTGTGGGCTAAGCTCCACTTTGGGACTCATCTGCCCTGTATTACTTTTGCTAGCCTCTTACTACTCAGGTCCAGAGGTCATAGAATTTGTGATCTCCCCAATTGCTCCTATAGATAACATCACTATTGTAGAACCCAAGATTGTTCTTCTTAGATGTTTGCCAGACTTTTGGCAAATGAGTGACCCCACCCATATTGTGACTCATGACTCAGCCAGTCCTGTGGCCCCCCACCAGAGGGGTACTCAGTGCACGAGGATTGATTTCCACACCCCTGTGATTGCATCCCCAACCAATCTGCAGCATCCATTCCCTTGTCCCCTGCCCACCAAACTATCCTTGACAAACCCAACCTCTGAGTCCTCAGGGGGACTGTTCTGAGTGAAAACTCCAGTCCTGCTTGGCTGCCTTGCATTCATTAAACTCTGTACTGCAATGCCATGGTCTCAGTGAATTGATTTTGTCTGTGCAGTGGGCAGGAAGAACACGTTGGGTGATTATAGCATGTGGCCCTCATTTTGGACTTTGAAAACAGCCTGTGTATTTTTCGATTAGAGAAATATACAATATACAGTGTATAGTATACAGAAGTATATAGGCTCTAATATGTGGATTGTATGATGGTTATGATGTATTTTTCCTTCTTTTAGCCTAAATACCTTGGAATTAGGTTTTGTATAGGTCTTGGTATGAAATCATCCCAAAACTTGGTAACTTAAAATAACAAGTATTCCTCATGATTCTCTGCTTTGGCCACGTAGTTCTGCTGATCTTGCTTGGGCTCCCTCAGTGGCTGCATTCAGCTAGTGGGTCAACTGGGCCTCTCTCTCCCTGTGATTACTCTGCCTCAGGAGGGCCAGATCCAGCTTTTCCATGTGGTGATGGCAGCAGCATTCCAAGGGAGAAAGTCCCATGCACAAGCACATGCCAAGCCTCTGCTTATATTTCAGTATTATTGCACCTTTGGCCAAAGCAAATCTCATAGCCAAGCCAAAAGTTCATGTGGGAGGGGAGTTCACAAGGGCATGGATATGGTGTCTCTAATGTTATAATTCACCCCAGTCTTCCTATATTATCTTTTTTTTTTTTTTTTTTTTGACAGGATTGTTCTCTGTAGCCCAGGCTGGAGTGCAGTGGCTATTCACAGGCATGATCCTACTACTGATGAGCACGGGAGTTTTGACCTGCTCCATTTTTACCTAGCTTGGTTCATACCTCCTTAGGTAACCTGGTGGTCCCCGCTTGTGGGAGGTCACCATATTGATGCCAAACTTAGTGCGGCCACCCAATCTGCATAGCGCACTACAGCCCAGAACTCCTGGGCTCAAGTGATCCTCCCACCTCAGCCTCCTGAGTAGTTGGGACTACAGGCATGCACCATCGTGCCTGGCATGACCTATTATTCATATAGAATTTTATGAAATTTGGTCTAAATATTCTCTTAACTATAGTTTTGACATACAAATACATACTTCCTAGTGTCATTTTTATCTTTTACCAAAGAATTCAGTGTTGCACTCTAATTTTTTTCCTTTAAGTCTTCGAATAAATGTATACATTAAATTCACCTACACCCCCAAAGCCAAATTAAGAAATTTTTAAAGCAATTTGCTATTAAAATATGGTATAATTTATATTAAAATTAAGAATTATCATAGAAAAAATCACAGTTTAAAAACTACACAGTAAAATTAAGCAAAATGTTTTCTATGTTTATATTTTGACATTTCATCTGTGATTCAGAACTAATTTATAAGACAGTAGGTATGTGAATTGCATTTCAAGTGTAGTCCCATGTTTACATGTAATTCCTTATATTTATACCGTATTCAATATGGCCACTAAATATTTTAGCTACTTTAGGAAAAATATCTGAATCTTTGCAAGGAATAAAATAAACCATGTTTGTATTCCCAAGTTTATGTTTTGTAGGTCTACATCTTCCCTGATGATGTGAACCACAAAATCACATTTAAAATATTAAAGCTCATTTTTATTTTTATTATTTTTTTGAGATGGAGTCTCACTCTGTAGCCCAGGCTGGAGTGCAGTGGCATGATCTCTGCTCACTGCAACCTCTGCCTCCCGGGTTCAAGCAATTCTTCTACCTCAGCCTCCTGAGTAGCTGGGATTACAGGCACGCACCACCACATCTGGCTGATTTTTGTATTTTTAGTAGAAACAGGGTTTCACCATATTGGTCAGGCTGGTCTCAAACTCCTGACCTCGTGATCCACCCGCCTCGGCCTCCCGAAGTGCTGGGATTACAGGCATGAGCCATCGCGCCTGGCCTAAAGTTCATTTTTAAAAGCTTAATTTTTACCAATAAATTTCCTTTTCTGTTTTTTGTTGTTGTTGTTGTTTAAAGATGGAGTGTTGCTCTGTCACCCAGGCGGGAGTGCAGTGGCATGATCGTGGCTCACTGCAACCTCTGCCTCCTGGGTTTAAGTGATTCTTCTGCCTCGGCTTCCTGAGTAACTGGGACTATAAGTGCATGCCACCCTGCCTGGGTAATTTTTTGTATTTTTAGTACAGACAGGGTTTCACCATATTAGCCAGGATGGTTTTAATCTGACCTTGTGATCTGCCCCCTTCAGCCTCCCAAAGTGCTCAGATTACAAGCATGAGCCACCTCGCCTGCTTATTTTCTTTTTAACTTGTTACCATTAAGGAAATATCCACAATAAGAAATGTTAATTTTGCTACATTTGTTATAGCATATATTTTATTCTATTTTACCTTATTATTATTTTTTTTTAGAGACAGAGTCTCATGCTGTCACCCAGACTGGAGTGCAGTGGTACAATCATAGCTCACTAACTTCAGACCCCTGAGATGAAGCACTCCTTCCACCTCAGCCTTCTAAGTAGCAGGACTACATGTGTGCACCACAACACAAGGCTAATTTGTTTATTTCATTTTAGAAATGGGGTCTTGCTATGTTGCCCAAGCTCATATCAAATTCCCAGCCTCAAATGATCCTCCACCTTGGCCTCCCAAAGCGGTGGGATTACAGGTGTGAGCCCCTGTGCTCAGCCATATATTTTATTACCTTTGAACTTAAACACAATATAAAAGTTCTAAGATTTGGAATTATAAAATTTGCATGAAAGACAAAAATAGAACCTATATATGGTTTTTATTTCTTTATCAAAGAATAGGAGTGGCAACCATCCCTATGCTCAATTCAGAAGCTATGGTCTTTGGGTGTAAAGATTCAGAGTGACACCTTTTTCTCCCCACTGAAGAGTTAGGCATGGAGGAACTGTGTATGTGTTATCTTATATGTAGGTATGTGTGTGCACATGACCATGTAAAGGCATCTCATTATTATACCATAATATAATTTTTCTGTCTGTATGCTTTCAGTTTTTTTGGAGCAGATAAGTTAATTTTTTTTCTTCTGTAAGAGTATGCTGGATAAATAGTTAAAACAATTTAACTCATAATAATATCTTTGCCTTACTGATTTATCACAATATCAATAAAAGTTGTATATTTAGGTCTGTAGGTAAACATGCTTATCCATATTTATTCTTTCAAACAGATGTTTTACAATAATTTAGTTGCATACCTTTTATCAATGGAAGATTTATGTTACATAAGGATTTTATTTGGCCGCTTGGAAGGAACCTTTTCTAACCAATCACTTTTTGAGATCTTGAGATATCCAAATACCTCTCAGAAACTCAGTTTGTGAAACGTTTGCACAAACTACCTGGCTTTTGGGTCATGCTCTTTCAATTCTTTGTCTTTAAAAGCAAAAAACATATTAATTCATGTTAAAAGTTATTCATATTGGGCTGGACACAGTGGCACACACCTGTAATCCCAGCACTTTGGGAGGCCAAGGTGGGTGAATTGCCTGAGCCCAGGAGTTCGAGACCAACCTGGGCAACATAGGGGAACCCAGTCTCTACAAAAAACTAAAATTAGCTGGGCATGGTGGCACACACCTGTAGTCCCAGCTACTCGAGAAGCTGAGGTAGGAGGATGGTTTGAGGCCAAGAGGCAGAGGCTGCAGTGAGCCAAGATCACGCCACTACACTCCAGCCTGGGTGACAGAGCGAGACTCTGTCTCAAAAAAGAAAAGGAAAGAAAACGTTGGCCTGGCATGGTGGCTCACACCTGTAATCCCAACACTTTAAGAGGCCAAGGTGGGTGGGTCACCTGAGGTCGGGAGTTCGAGACCAGCCTGGACAACATGGAGAAACTCCGTCTCTTAAAAATACAAAATTAGCCAGGCATGGTGGCACATGCCTGTAATCCCAACTAGTCAGGAGGCTGAGGTGGGAGAATTGCTTGAACTTGGGAGACGGAGGTTGCAATGAGCCAAGATTGCGCCATTGCACTCCAGCCTGGGCAACAAAGCGAAACTACATCTCAAAAAAAAAACAACAACAAAAAGAGTTACTCCTATGTGTAATTTTTTAAATGTTTCACTTTCCTCTGTAATTATAAATTCTACAACAATTTTTGCTATCTCTTGATCACCCTCTTGTCTTTTTGTCAGCTGGGATATAAAAAAAAGCAGGTTGGGTTGACTACCTTGTTTTGCTGAAGAACTTTGACCTGGCCTTTTAGATTCTTGAAGCCTCCTCAGCTGAATTTTGTGTGTGTGTGTGTGTGTGTGTGTGGTGGAGTTTTGCTCTTGTTGCCCAAGCTGGAGTGGTGCAGTGGCGCAATCTCAGCTCACCACAACCTCTACCTCCCAGGTTCAAGTAATTCTCAAGCCTCAGCCTCCTGAGTAGCTGGGATTACAGGCATGCACCGCCATGTCCAGCTAATTTTGTATTTTTAGCAGAGACAGGGTTTCACCATGTTGGTCAGGCTTGTCTCGAACTCCCGACCTCGGGTGATCCACCCGCCTTGGTGTCCTAAAGTGCTGGGATTACAGGAGTGAGCCACCATGCCTGGACCTCAGCTGAGATTTCTATAAGCACTCCTTGTTTCCTCATCCATTAACAGTCTAATCCTCTCAGCTGTCTTGGGGTGTCCTCCTTGAGTTTTAGATGCATGCTTAAGACAGCAACAACTTGTCCCAAATTAGCTGCGATACGCTAATTTCCAACATTTATAAATCAGCATTTATATAAACATTACATATGTTGATGTACATGTCCTTGAACTACCCTCTATATCTCAGTTCTTACAAAGTTACACATGTTCAGACTACTCAATTTTTGTTTATCCAGGGTATTTTCTCAGTTCGCACAGGGTAGCAGCACACGCAAGCTGATTCTATTTTTAGCTCAAGACGCTTTCAGTGTGAAGATAGTTTTATCCAGATCCTCTTCCCTAAAGACCCCTTGAAGCAGTGTAGCTGGGGCTGGCTGGCAAGTGCACCTCTGGGAGAATTCAAGAATGTTGCCTTGTTGAGTCCACAGTCTTACCCTATTGCCTCAGGTATTTACATAATCAGAAGTGGCTGTACTGTATCTCAATTTATACAGGGAGACCTGTCATTGATGCTATATTTTTCTTTAAGTCTAAACACCATTTTTGGCCAAGCATGGTGGCCACACCTGTAATCTTGGCACTTTGGGAGGCTGAGGCAGGCAGATCACCTGAGCTCAGGAGTTCAAAAGCAGCCAGGGCAACATAGCAAGACCGCATCTCTACAAAACAAACAAAAAAAGAAAAGAAAAGAAAGGAAATCATAAAGAAAAAGACTAATAAATTTGAACATATTGCAATTAGGAACTTCAAAACAAAGTGAAACATAAAAAGTGAAAAGGCAAGTCTCACAGATGAATTTTTAAAAAATAAATTGACAAGTTGACTCTAAATTTATTTGGAAATGCAAAGCAACTCTAGAATAGCTAATTTTGCAAAGGAAGCACAAAGTCAGAGGACCTTCCCTACTTGATTTCAAAACTCACCATAGAGCTACAGCAATCAAGATTGTGTGGTCTTGCTATAAGAATAGACATACAGATTTCTAAAACAAAATAGAGTCCAGAAGTAGACCCGCATTATTATGGTTAACTGATTTTTAACAAGTGTACCGGGGTAATTCAAAGGAGAAAAAAATAGCCTTTTCAACAAGTGGTGCTGGAATACTGCATATTCAAATTTTGGTAACCTCAACTTTTATTTCACATCATAGACAAAAAATTAATTTAAAATATAAAGTAGAACTAAATGTAGGAGCTGAAACTATAAAACTTCTTGAAGAAAACATAGGGTAAAATCTTTGTGAACTCAAGTTAGGCAAACATTTCTTAGATACACCAAAAGCATGAACCATGAAGGAAGAAAACAAGATAAATTGGAATTCATTGAAAAGTTTTACTTTTCAAGACATTAATAAAAAAGGAAAGCTACAGAATGAGAGGAAATATATGCAAATATATCTGACGAAGACTTGTATCCAGAATTTAAAAAGAACTCCTAGAACTTAAGAAAGAAAAAAAATCCAAATTTTCAAAAAAAATGGGTAAAAGACTTTTTGATGATTAATATCATGTGTCAAGTTGAGTGGGTCACAGGGTGCACAGACATTTGGTCAAATATCATCCTCGGTGTTTCTGTGAGGATGTTCCTGGATGAGAGGAATGTTTGAAAGGATAACCTGAATAAAGTGGATTCCCCTCCCTAACGCAGGTAGGAGGCCTCATCCCATCAGCTGAAGATCTGAATAGAAGAAAAAGGCTAAAAGGGAATCCACCTGCCTGACTTGAGACATTGGTCTTCTCTGCCCTCACGCTGGACTACACCACCATTTGCCAGCTTGCCAAATGCAGATCATGGGACAGCCTCCATCATCATGTCAGCAGATTCCTTATAATCACTTCCTTCATGTATATGTACATCAGCTTATGTACATCCATATACATATAGCCTATAGGTTCTGTTTCTCTGGAGAACACTGGCTAATACAGATTTGAGCAGAAATGTCATTAAATAAATGTACAAATGGAAAATTAGCACATGAAAAGATGCTCAGCATCATGAGTCACTAAGGAAATATGAATTGAAGCCACAGTAAGTTACTGTTTTCTATCATCTATTTTAAGCAAAATTAAAATGTAAAAATTACACAATATCAAGTGTTGGTGAGGATGCAAAGAACCAGGAATTCTTGCACATTTTTTGTGTGAGTGTAAACTGGTACAGAAGCTTTGGAAAAACACTTGGCATACAGCCATAAGAAGGAATGAGATCATGTCCTTTGCAGGGACATGGATGAAGCTGGAAGCCTCATCCTCAGCAAACTAACACAGAAACAGAAAGCCAAACACCAAATGTTCTCACTCATAAGTGGGAGATGAACAATGAGAATACATGGACACAGGGAGGGGAACAGTACACACCGGGGTCTGTCAGGGGGTACGAGGGGAGGAAGAGCATCAGGACAAATAACTAATGTATGCAGGGCTTAATACCTAGGTGACGTGCTGAGAGGTGCAACAAACCACCACGGCACACGTCTACCTATGTAACAAACCTGCACATCCTGCACAGGTATCCCGGAACTTAAAATTAAAAGAAAAGCATTTGGCATTATCTAGCAAACATGATATATACCCTCATTCATCAGAAGAGAAACACGTAAGAATGTTTTTGGTAGCATTGTTGTAATGTTTAAAAAAAAACACTGGAAAGAATTCAAATGCTCATTGATGGGGGAATAAAGGTATATTCACACAACAGAATACCACACAGCATTGCAAATTAAATCAACCACAGCTACATATAATAACATAGTTGAATTTTGCAGATGTAAGGCAAGTTATAGAATATTACTTACATAACTGGAAAACCAAACATATGGGGATAGCTATCCCAGAGAACATACATATTTTATAGATTTGTAAAGATAAGAGGAGAATGAAAAAAGAAGCCATTCAAAACAGTAGAGGAGGTTTTTCCTAAAGGAGGAAAACAGGAGGCTGGGAGAGGGAAGGGGCCCATGACAGAACTCCAGCACAATCGATGCTCAGTTTTTAAGTTGGTTGGTGGCTCCACAGGTGCTTAATTTATTATTATTATTATTATTATTTTCCCATTTATTTATTTTATTGCATTTTAGGTTTTGGGCTTAATTTATCATTAATAATTCATAATTTACATGCATGTTTTATATATTCTTTCATATCTCTCAAATAGTTCATAATAAGTAGAAAATATTTGCAAAGTTGTCTAAATGGGTGAGGAAGAACTCTAGGATATAAGTTACTATAGTGGGAATAAATCTGTCATGGGTGAAGTTTTTTAAATTTCTGAAACTTCTTTCCCTCTGCCACATATTTTCTTCCCTGCTGTGGAATCCTGATTTTTCAAGCCAATTCTAGCTAAATTTGTTACCTAACTTTTGCTAGGTCTGTTTAAAATGTTTGTACAAGAAACATGAGGGCTTGTGCTGCTTGTATCAGATAACATCAAGTTTACTTAAGAGATTGAAGTGGAGCCAGGTGTGGTGGCTCACACCTGTAATCCCAGCACTTTGGACGGCTGAGGCAGGTGGATCACCTGAGGTCAAGAGTTCAAGACTAGCCTGGCCAACATGATAAAACCACATCTCTACAAAAAAAATACAAAAATTAGCTGGGTGTGGTGGTGTGCACCTGTGGTCCCAGCTACTTGGAAGGCTAAGGCCAGAAGATTATTTGAGCCCAACAAGTCAAGGCTGCAGTGAGTCTTGATGGCACCACTGCACTCCAGCATGGACAACAGAGTAAGGCCCTGTCTCAATTAAAAAAAGAAAAGAAAAGAAAAGAAAAATAAAGAAAATAAAAAAACTCAATGCCAGGGTGAACAGCAGACTAGATGCAGCTAAACAGAGAGTTGATGAAATAGAAGATAGATCAAGAAGTTATGCAGAATGTAGATCACATGCATGAAAATATAGAGAAAAATTAAGAAGCATGGAGAGTAGAGTTAGAGAAGTTTATTAGGTGCATTTTTTTTTTGAGATGGAGTTTTGCTCTTGTTGCCCAGGCTTGAGTGCAATGGTACAATCTCAGCTCACTGCAACCTCTGCCTCCTAGGTTCAAGTGATTCTCCTGCCTCAGCCTCCCAAGTAGCTGGGATTATAGGTGTGAGCTGCCGCTATACCTAATTTTTGTATTTTTACTAGAGATGGGTTCTCATCATGTTGGTCAGGCTGGTCTTGAACTCCTGACCTCAGGCGATTCACCCACCTCAGCCTCCCAAAGTGCTGGGATTACAGGTGTGAGCCACCACGCCTAGCCTATTAGGTACCTTTCTATCTTCTATGTTGCTATAGGTTATAGTATTGCCAAATATTTTGCCACTGTATTGTTCTTCAGGCTTTTCCTGCTGTATAAAAATCACACCAAAACATAATGGCTTAAAATTAACCATTTTATTTTATTTTATTTTTGAGACAAAGTCTCACCCCATCACCCAGACTGGAATGCAGTGGCACAATCTCGGCTCACTGCAACCTTCACTTCCCGGGTTCAAGCAATTCTCCTACCTTAGCCTCCTGAGTAGCTGGGATTACAGGCATGCACCACCACACCCGACTAATTTTTTTTTTTTTTTTTGTAGAGATGAGGTTTCATTATGTTGGCCAGACTGGTCTCGAACTCCTAATCTCAGGTGATCCCCCTCCTCCTCAGCCTTCCAAAGTGCTGGGATTACAGGTGTGAGCCACCATGCCCAGCCCAAAATTAACCATTTTATTTGCTCACAATTCTGTAGGTGAAAAATATGGACAGAGCTTGGCTGGATAGTTCTTTTGCTTTACGTGGCATTCACTGGGATATCCCATGAAGTTGTAGTCAGACAGCAGGTAGAGCTGAAGCACCAAGATGACTTCACATGTGTGTCTGATGCCTTGGCCAGGGTGGCTAGAAGATTGGAACCTTTTTGTCTTTCTCCAAATGTTCTTCTTTGAATAGCTTGTTTGGGCTCCCTTTAACAGCAGCTCAATCCCAAGAGAGACTGTTCCAAGCAGCAAAAGAAGAAACTGCAGATCTCTTAAAGCTCAGGTTGGAAATGGTAAACTACCACTTCTACCACATTCTATCAGGAAATATAGGTCACAAAGCCAGACCAATTTCAAAAGAAGAAATCGAACCCACATAAGCTAGTCAGGGTTTTTAATGGAAATTTACAAGCTGATTCCTGAATATACATGGAAATATAAAGGCTAAAATTAGACAAACATGATTGAAGTAAAACAGAGTATAATTATTTTCCCTACCAGATATCAAGATTTATTACAAAGCTATAGTAATTATATGACTAATAGAACAGAAAATCCAGAAGCAGATGAGTATTTGCAAAGTAGAAATATAACAGAAGAGAACTACAGATCCCTGGGGTAAGGATAAGCTATTTAATAAATGGCCTGGGATAGTTTTTTATCCATATAGAAAAATAAGGCCAGGCATGATGGCCCATGCCTGTAATCCTAACACTTTGGGAAGCCAAGGCAGGAATATTGCTTGAAGCCAGGAGTTCAAGACCAGCCTGGGTAACATAGTGAGACCCTGTCTCTACAAAAATTTAAATTCAACCAGGCACAATGGCTCATGCCTGTAATCCCAGAACTTTGAGAGGCCAAGGATGGTGGATCCCTTGAGTCCAAGAGTTCAAGACCAGCTTTGGCGACATGGTGAAACCTCGTCTCTACCAAAAATACAAAAATTAGCCAGCTTCATAACCTGGTCTCAAAATAAATAAGTAGATTTAAAAAAAAATTTCTTTTTAAAAATAAGGGAGGCCAGGCACAGCGGCTCACATCTGTAATCCCAGCACTTTGGGAGGCTGAGGCAGGTGAATCACCTGAGGTTAGAAGTTCGAGACCAGCCTGACCAATATGGTAAGACCCCATCTCCACTAAAAGTACAAAGATTAGCCGGGCATTGTGGCATGCACCTGTGGTTCCAGCTACTCAGAAGGCTGAGGCAGGAGAATCACTGGAATTCAGGAGGTGAAGGTTACAGTGAGCCAAGATAGCACCGCTGCACTCCAGCCCAGGTGACAGAGTGAGACTCTGTCTCAAAAAATAAAATAAAATTTTGTTTAGACCTCAGTTTATAAACAAAAGTTTATAAAATCCAAATGTAAAAACGTTTAAGCTTTTTTTTTTTTTTTTTTTTT